GTTATAATAAATAACAACAGGTACAATAAATAACAGTTATAATAAATGTCAGAGAGCAGAGTGTTTTTATTCTGCTCACCCTTTTTCATCATGTAGGAGCAAAACTAATAAACTCCAGGCTCCAAAGAGACGTTGGTGTCTTCACCAGGTTGGACTAACTGAATGCAGATGTTGCATGCACCATGAATGCAGCTGGGCATCAGGGTTGCCAGATAAATGTAAAATGTGTTATTTACCCCCTCTTTTTCTGTGCACATGTTCAACAAACACACACCTCATCTTAGAACATCTTTATTCAGCACATCTGTCAGTTTAGCTCAAAATACTATAATTTTAAAGCCACCGTACTATAGTTCATCATTTCTTATCTGGCAACCCGACTGACATGGAAACTAAAGCATTTTCATGTAAACCCGCTCATTTTGTATATTACCCCCAATAAACATAGAAAAAACACTAAAGTTTCCAGAGGCTGTTCTGTGTAAACGGGGCCTTAATATTCTTGTTTTTAGTATTTAACCATGTCACCCTGATTTATTGTTTTATAACACTGCTTTCATTTTAACTGCATCTTTACTGTAATTTATCATTATTGTTTACTGTTCTTGTTGTCTGAACTTCTTCTGTTCTGTGTTTAAACCAGGTCTCTCTTGTAAATGGTCCTCGAGGCTAAATGAGACTAACCTGCAGAAATAAAGGTTGAATGAAAGAAAAAGTTGGTGACGTCAGATTTGACTTTGTTTTTTTTTTGTCTTTAATGGGCTTCCATACTTTTCTCTTCAATTAGCTGCAGCTCGGGGGAACATGTGAAGCAGCTCCAGCAGCAGCTGCACCTTCTGCCCTGCCAGGTGTAATCAAGCCAACGTGAAACACCTGAGCAGGTAGAACTCCTGAAACCACCAGGGCCGAGCAGAACATGGACCTGAGTCCAGGTGAGTGTTCAGATGAAACCATGACGTCAGCAGCAGCTTTTAGCTTCAGCTGACTTTCTGCTCACAGGTAAGAGCTTGGTCTAAAACCGTCTTTTACTGAACCTACATGACAACAAACAACAAGTCGGAGACATAAATAAAGCCCGAAACATCAAGTTTCATTTTTAGTTCCTGAACTTTTGTTGCGTTGAGGCGGGAGAGAGAGTTAAAATGGCCGAAAACGCGGGTTTTACAGGAACATGAAAGGAAGCGGGATCTGCCGCCGCTCTGACGGTCAGAGTTCAAAGAAGCCGCGAAACTTCAAAAGAACCTTCAAGACTAAGTTTAAAAGTTTTTAAAGTTAGTCCTCGTGACTCAATGAGACTAACGTGTTTAACTAAAGGTTGAAAAAAGTTCCAGTTTTATTCCTGCAGGTGACGAGTTACGTTTTAAAAAGATAAAAATTCTTTTAGAGTCAAATGATCTCCCAAATAATTTGAGTTAACTCACAAAGCTCAAGCTGTGGTCTTTAAATTTTGATTTAGGTGTTACCTGTTGTCTGCAGGTGTGGAAATGGAAACCCAAATCTCAGCTTTTATTTGTGTAAACGTGTAGCTCGTCTGCCGCCGCTGCTGCAGCGGCCGCCGCAGCTCGCCTGCCGCCGCCGCAGCAGCTCGCCTGCCGCCGCTGCAGCAGCTCACCTGTCGCCGCCGCAGCAGATCACCTGTCGCCACCGCTGCAGCAGCTCACCTGTCGCTGCTGCAGTGGCCGCCGCAGCAGATCACCTGTCGCCACCGCTGCAGCAGCTCACCTGT